AACTTGGTCACGGCCGTTTCCAAATTTTATTATTATATTAATAATTTAAATAATTTGTGTAATGTTTTTATTTTTGTAATGTTTTTGTAATGTATTTTTGTGTAATGTTTTTATTTTAGAGTGGTTGTTATTTTCAGCAACTAAACTATATAAGTCAAGGGAAAAAAAAAACACACTTTTAAGTTGATTAAAAAGAATGTTATTCCTATATTTTAATTGTTTTTTAAAAGACGAAAGCAAAAATATATACAAATATATAAATTGCCAGCTGTTTGTAAAATATATTTGTATAATTTAAATGCAACAAGTATTTATTGTTCCTATAAGAAAACGTCTATGTGATGCATGCGCATACGTTTATGTATAATTTTTTGGATTATATAATTATATTTATCTAGCGGTAACTATATGCCTGTTTAGCTCATTTATGTAAAGCGTTAACTTTCAAATCGGAATGTCAAACCGGGGTTCGATTACTACGACATTCCATATCTTTTTTAAATACCGCTTGTTATATATTTGCTTTGAAACCATTTATCAATTCTTAATCGTATGTAAAAAGTCTATTTTTTTTTTGTTTTGTTTTGGAATAATACACTTAAGTTTACATCAAAGGTTTAAATTCCATCAAGCTTCTATTTTCTATTGTTTCATGATTATTCTAGTCTAATAGTGAGTTCAACTCTTACTCTCGGATAAAAGGAAGATAGTAATAAGTAATGTTTTAGAGTAAAAATTTTTAGCAAATAGTTCTGCCATACTTAAAAAAAAAAATTAAATCAGACCTTTTTTTAATCTTTTAAAATTTCTATTAAATTATATCTCCAGTTATGATTACATGCAACTGTTTTGTAATAATTGGATAAAAAGTTATTTTAAAAAAAGTGATATTTGCATTTTACACATTTATTTTGTGCAACAAACCCTTTGTTTTTGAGCTTAAGGGTATATGAGGGTTTTGATAACAATTAAAAAATAGTTGCCTCTTTAAACGACCAGTTTGGCGAGTGCCTATTAGACAGGGATGCTAAGTTAGAATCCGCAGTGAGGAAGTCCTTGTCTTAGCGCAGAATCCTGCCCCTCGCAAAAGTATTTACAACTCCGGGACCCCAGAATTTTTTTAACTTTATATCAGAATTTAAACGTTCCCTAACAAAACATCATTAACTTTAATATGTTTATTTATGTTTTAATTTGTTTATAATTTGTTTAGCCAATATTACTTAAACCTTAAAAAGAGGTCTGAGCTTCAACGCCTGTGTTGAAGCCAATATGTTTATGTTAATGTTAAAGAAAGTATTTTTCTAACTAAATCTTATGGTATTGTTAAAACTTGCAAATTTGTTTTTACCGATAAAGCTGTTTCAAAAGATTTTCTATACACAGGTAGAAAGTATCGTTTCACAAGTGCAGTATTTGAAGTTTACTAAATGTGCCTAAGCACGTCGCTAGAACAAATTTCATAATATTTTTTGAGTGGCTTTAACTTATCATTTGAATTAAATTAAAACGTTTTACAACATTTTAGTTTTAATGCGCTTTTAGTTTAGTTTGCAAATATTTTCAGCCTACAAAAAAAAAATACAATTACCATTTTCATAAATGCTTTTTGTGGGTTATGTAACTAATTATGTAATTTGAAGAAGAGTAAAAGCTGATTTGCAGGGAAACAATTTATTTACGGTAACTAAAGTTGGAAATTTTTGCATACCAGGCTAACTCTCTACCATTTCACTATTACCGCATATACAATTAAAGTAAACAAGTTTGTTATATAAAATATATCAGTAGAAATATTTTCAGCCTACAAAAAATAGTCACTTTTTGAGCAAAATGAAATCATAAATAAATTATAGTTTTTTATAGCATAATTAAAACTTTATATATTTTACTCAAGCCTTTCAAAAAGGTTTAAAAAAACATTCGAAATCCGGAGTCCAGGGAGTCCTTATATTTTGACCCTTAAGTCCAGAGTTCGGAGTTTCTTAAAATTTGTATGTATTTACATCCCTACTTATAGTTGACGTGTTTTATTTTGTGTCAGCACTATACATTTTTGGTCATTTCTATTTAACTTGTTTTTATATACAAAAATGTGAAGTTGCATTTGTATTTATTTAAACTATAAAAAGAGTCATTTACTTGTAACTTTATTTTTTTATTCTCTAGATGTATCCTGATAAAAATTTTTTCTTTTTTTCCACCTCCAAAAGGTTATCATCTGAAATCTTTGTATCATGATATTATCTGTGTTACTTGTGTGGTATTCATACAGTTATTATCTTCTAATTTGGAAAATTTTTATTTATAATATTTCTATTATTTTAACATTATTTTTTTAATATTTTTTTCATTTTGTATTTTTCTTTTTACTTTGATTGTTATAATATTTAGTTATGAATAATGAATTATAATATTTTACTAATAAAAAAAATTTATATTTATGAATCACTATTTTTTAACATAAACAATCATTTTAAATTATTTAATTTGAATATAGATTCTGCTGATTCATCAGAACTTAATGATTTTACTGAAGAAATGAATCTAATGAAAGGAATTGGATACCACAAGAATATTGTAAACTTGATTGGCTGTTCAACAATTAAGAAACCCTTGTGTTTAATAGTTGAGTATATGGAGCATGGCGATTTATTGAATTTCTTAAGAAAAAATCGAACAAATGTAAGTTATTTTAGAATATTTGAAATAAATATTTAGACTATTTTTATCAAGCAAAACTTATTCTTTTCTGACTTTCCATTAAAAAAAGTTGCACTTTTTTCACCTTAATTTTACTGCAGTATAGTTTTTTACTGTCCTTTTATCCTTTAAAAAAATTTATCTAGTTTTTCCTCTCACACAATAATGCTTTTAAACTCCATGTCATTTTCATTTTTTCATACTTTCCTGATTCATACTAACTACAGCTTCTTACTTTTTTTACTCAAATATTTCCTTCCTATTAACACTATTGTTAGTTTTCTATTCACTTTAAACTCAATAGTGGTTGCTTTTCAGTTGTTGGAAAATCATAAGTTAATAAATATAAAATTTTAAAATTAGTTTCTTCTTCCTAAGTCCATTTTGAAGCAAGCAGGAAAACAAAAATTAGTCAAACAATTATCACGTTGTTAAGAGAGAATTAAAGAAAGTTCTTAAAAATACTTTTTCAAGACTAAGGTAGTAGTGTTGTCTGAACTGCAGACTGTAGAAAAGTTTGATTGATAAATGCCTTAAGTTATAGAGGTCCAGATGATTGTGAAAGCATATGATGGGTTAACCTGAATAAATAACAGGAAAAGTGTGGCCATTGAAACTAAGAGTCAATCAAAAAGGAAAAACTTTAAGTAAATAGTTTCATTTTTTCTTTAGAATAGGTTATAAGATTAGACACTTAAATTAGATATGAATTGCTAGGCATACCTAAGTTTATAGCACTATCAAAGATATAACAAAAGCCTGTAGAACCGAATTTCTGAGATAAGACACAAGATTTTATAAACTGAATTGGAGAATCAGATAGATAGAATAGATAGCGTTTTGTTACTTTGTTAAATAAATGTTGTTTGTTACAAGAGTTACATTTGTTGTTACATTTAAAAACAATAAAAAAATGATCCCAATTAGATATAGTAGCTGCTTGAGACGGTAAAAACTATGACGTAGCATGAGGAATGATTTAAAACTGGTAAAAAAAAAATTAAAGCTTTCACACCGGTCCTGACCCAGGAAGTCACACAACGGTGCATTTATCAACATAGAAATAAAAGATTCAGCAAAAGACCTGTAATAATAAGAATTTCAGTAAGCCTAATTTTAATAGTAAAAATTGCATTGATAGGCTGAATATGAAGGAGAACACAATAAAGGAATCATTACATGTAATGTAATAATTCCTTAAAAAGTAGAACAAGGAGAAACTGAACACAAACCAGACTCAAAGGCAAGACAAATGTCAATGAGTGATGGTAATCAAATAGAGTTGTCAGCAAAGTGAGTAAAGTTAACTATCTGGGTAAAAGATTAAAAAAAAACAGAGGTCATAAGTATTAGTTACAAAGTTATTAGTGTTGAAGGCGAGCCATATTAATTGATAACCATTATTTGAATTAACAACAACAATGGTTTAATGATAAAAATAATAATATCAGAAGAATTTCAATCTAGAGAATAGAAAAAATGATAAAAAAAAGTTATTTTGGTAAGTAATACCTTTGTATTACTTACCAAAATAACTTTTTTTATTTTACAGACCCTTGTATATATATATATATATATATATATATATATATATATATATATATAATATATATATATATATATATATATTTATATACATATATATGTATATATATATATATATATATATAATATATATATATATATATATATATATATTTATATATATATATATATATATATATATATATATATATATATATATATATATATATATATATATATATATATATATATATATATATATATATATATATATATATATATATGAATATATATATATATATATATATATACATATATATATATATATATATATATATATATATATATATATATATATATATATACATATGTTTATATATATATATATTTATATATATATATATATATATATATATATATATATATATATATTTATATATATTATATATATATATATATATATATATATATATATATATATATATATATATATATATATATATATATATATATATATGAATATATATATATATATATATACATTTATATATATATATATATATACATATATATATATATATACATATATATATATATATATATATTATATATATATATATATATATATATATATATATATATATATATATAATATATATATATATTATATATATATATATATAATAATAATAATAATACTGGACTTAATAGTAGTAGTAGTGCGCTTTCGAGCCTGTTTGACACGATACTCTTGGCAACCATTGCATCCGAGGTAGTGACGAGAAAGAGTCTTTTGCTTTATAAGAAAACGCGAGCAAACGTGAAACCCATATTGTACGTACATAAACTTTATGTTATGTAATGTTAAAACATGCTTAAACATATATCAAGTTCAACAGTTTTATTTTCACTTAAGAACTGCATTTCGTCAACCTTTGCTTAATTTCTAATCTTTTGCGTTTTTATCCGTTAAAAAACAATTTTTATATAATTAGAAATCTTCAATAGACAACGTGACGGCGTAGTAGAGTGGTTAGCGCTCTGGGCTTTTAACCAAGTCAGCCGTGGTTTAAGTCCTACCATAGGCGACCTTCTTTTTTATTTTTTTTTGCGCATGTGTCATTATTGAGATACTCATGTTATTTTAGTTAAACTTTTCAAGTTTATTTACAACTAAATTGAGCAAGGAAAATTAGTAATAAACATGTTTATATATAGAATATAAAATCTATATAACTTTTGATTTGCATTTTAAACAACAAAACCGCATGCCAAGTTGATGAACTTGCCACACGGCGACCATAACTTTTTTTAAAAATGGTAAGGGGGCTTAAAAAGTATATTTTTATTTAGAACATAATTAAAGATTTTAATTTTGTATGGTCACTAAATTATTTTATATAATTTATTGTTTCTAAAAATAATTAAAAGTTAAACTATTTTATATTAGCATAATACCGATTTCTAATCTTTTGCATTTATATCCGTTAAAAACAATTTTTATATAATTTTGAATCTTTATCTCTTGATGCGTAAGCATTTTTTTTTTTGATTTTTTTTAATACAAATTCAAATACTTATAAAGTTTTATAGATATTGTATATAGACAACATATGTAAAGATTATTAAATCAAAAGTTTGATCCTCGCATTTTGACA